AGTGCTTTTGGTAGGTGGCCTTTTGATTCGAAGCGTGTTGTGACTGGCGGCAGCGGCGAGACTTAGCCGTCGCGAGGGCGAGGCGTGTGGGTGGAGCAGACCAGATGAGGTGGTCACGAAACCAAGGATCATGGCGCAGGGTGTTTCTCATTTGGAAGAGACACATCGCTTACATATTCAGCACCAAATGTTGAAGATGCGGCGTGGTCTAGGACAGCTTCAAGAACGCGACGCGGATAGCAGCCACTTGGGTACCTCGTAGTGGTAGCTTGTGTAGGTACACGCTACCAAACGTTGTTGACACGTAATTTGAAGAGGGTAGGGCGAACGGTGCCGACCTTGAACGCAGTACAGCTGTAGTGTAAGTATACGCTTTTTGATCTTACTGTAGTTGACTGTGCAGTTGAACAAGACTGGTGCAATGATCATTAGCTCGATTTCATTAGATCCAGTGTCGATGGTTCAATGATAATCATCTGCAGGAAGCGTTACATCAGAGGGGGTCAGCGGCTGGGTCAGGAAGGGACGATCTTCTGAGTTGGGTTGTTGACCGGGTTGTACGTGTGGAACTGCAAAACCGGGTCGACCATTTTGTAACACTCAAAGCACCTCGTAATGCTCCGGTGGACTCTCTGCGTCTGCGTCCTCGCGGTAGCCTCCACGCCCGCCGTGTACGCACACACCGGCTTGGCAGTACCAAAGAGCGCTGACTCCAAGATCCAACAGATATTAACGACGCCAGCGATGGCGGCGCTTCCAAAGTCGGATCGACCGCAGTCGTGGGCTCCAACGCCGGATCCAACACCGGAGCCAACATGGCGGCCAACACCGGAGCCACCAACATGGGAGCCAACACCGGAGCCAACACCGGTGCCGGCACCCTCTCGGCCGTCACCGACGCCGGTGCCGGCACCCTCTCAGCCGCCGGTGCCGAGCCAAGTACAGCCAACAATGAAGCCAATATCCCCCGCGACATCAGCACCACCACTGATGCCGGTGGATCCGACCACGGCAACACCACCACCCAATGCGCCGACGCAAGTCTCTACAACGGGCACACCACTACCAACAAAAAACGAACCGACGGCCGAGACTGCTTTAGGCACACCCATGTCGTCGCCATCCTCAGAACCAAAGTCAGGACCGCCATCGATGGCCTCGCCGAACACAAGTTCAGCTGGAAGCGCCACTCCCGCGCCCGTGCAAGCCGTCGACGGCGCTTCCAATTCCTCGACCAACTGTACACCGAACGCTTCGATGCATCCGTATTGATATGGGTTGTCTTGTGTAGCCACGCCGCTCATTGTCGGCGTCAGTGTCGGCGGCGTGCTTTGTCTCGCGCTCATTGGCTGGTACTGCATCAAGCGACGCCGACACGCTGATGACAAGGCGACGCCGCTCATTGGATTGGTCTCGACGATGGCGGCCGACTACTCGAATGACACGGGCGCCATCGACCTCTCGCACCTCTCCCGCTGCCGCCTCGACACTGGATCGGTCGTTCTCTACTCGATCGCGGGTCGCGGTGCGTTTGCCGAAGTGTGGCGCGGCTCGTACAACGGCGCGACCGTGGCCGTCAAGAAGCTTCAGGGGGCGCGGCAGTCGGATCGCGAGATTCAAACCTTTGTCCGTGAGATTCAACTCCTTTCCAGGTACTCCGCCATCGCTTCCTCTACCAGCTCATCCGTATATGTGTAGTTTTGACTGCCCATATATCGTGTCGCTCGTGGGCGCGACGTGGAACACGCCCATGGATTTGCAGTGCGTCATGGAGTACATGGACGCTGGCGACCTCCGTGACCACCTAAATCGGCAAGACGCGGCTTCGTTTCCGTGGTCGGCCAAAATCGTGTGTCTCCAGGCGGTCGTGTACGGTCTCGGGTACCTACACTCGCTCTCAATCATCCACCGCGACCTCAAGTCCCGCAACGTCCTCCTCGATACGAAGAAGGGCTACAAGCTCGTGGACTTTGGCATCGCCAAGGAAGACATGCAAGCCACCATGACGATGGGAGTCGGGACGTTCCGCTGGATGGCGCCCGAGGTGCTTCAGGAAACCGCGTACACGGTCGCTGCCGACGTCTACTCGTTCGGTACGTCCCTCTTTATACAACAGCATGTGTACGAGTAGTGCTATAGGTGTGATGCTCTCCGAGATGGACACGCACGAGCTACCGTACACGGATGTCAAGAACCCGACGACGGGCCAGCCACTCGCGGACCCGGCTGTCGTTGGGCGCGTCATGGCCGGCACGATCAAGCCGTCGTTCACCCCTGACGGGCCTGCGTGGGTCCGCGCCCTTGGCGAGAGCTGTCTGCAGTTCGACCCGGAGGATCGCCCAACGATCTACCAGATCGCTGCCACGTTGGAGCAAGTAAAGGCAACCACGTATGAGTAATTCAGTCGTAATGTCATTTTGATAAGTTGATTTTCACGATCGCGACAACTCGCAAGTAGGTGGCAGTATACTGGAGCCAAGACTTCGTACAATTGAGCTCGTGACGGAATATGTGTTGTCAAGATACTGCTCGGATATTTCGTAGAGCGCCAAGAGCAATGCTTACATGTGCGAGAAGCTTGGTGCTCTCCGACACTTGCTCGAGTTTGCAACTTGGTTCTAGTTTCGGGCTTCGTCGGCGAGGACGTCGCACCAGCACTCACGCGAGGACGGAATGTAGGTCGTATTTGAATCTACGGTTCGTATTGCGAGGGATTTTACCTTGGGTATGATAAAATTATCGAGATAAAGGTTCGTATCACGAGGTCCATCTGCGTCCAAGGTCTGGCTCGGTGGTTCGGATCCACCGCTTCAGCCGGCCTTCACGTAGAGCATGACCATGGAGCGCTGGTTGGGCGTCTGCCGCTTCCTGACGAGCAACGAGATGGCGCACCTGAGCCACACGAGCCGCGACGTCCGTGCCGTCGTCGAAGCGGTCGCTGTGATCTTTGCCAAGGAGTCGCCTGCGCTCGCCTTCCTCTTTGCCGACACGAGCGTCGCCTTCGTGCGCCTGCCGCGCATCTCGATCTTCCAATGGCTTCGCTGCGTGGAGCTCCAGCTCATCAAGTCGCTGCTGCTCCACGCGTCCAGTGTCGCCGAGACCGCCGGTGACGACGTTGACTTTCCGGCGGTCGCTTGGACGTCGTCGGCGCACGTGACCGTGCTCGTGTCCAAGGCGTTCGTGCTCACGAGCAAGAAGCAGTGCGACCGCGCCGAGAAGCTACTGCGCCAAGGACCAAAGGCTGTGTCGAGGCTGCGCGAGCTCGCGTCAATCCCACCGTCGTCCAAGAAGCATGCCAAGGCGGTGAAGCAGGTGCGCAGCGACCTCGCGGCCATGCAGCTCCTCGAAGACCGCGAGATCGCCCACGTCAGCGACAGCATCACGTGTAGCCATGATGGCCTTCTCCCGCTCTCGCTCTCGAAAGGCCAAGGCAAACGGCTCTCCCTGCCGTTGGCGGTGTGGCGCAAGCTGCTGCGGTATGTGAATCCGGGCGCCGACCGCGTCTTTGGCGCTGGCCGCCCCGCCACCGAGTGCGACACGTGCTTGACGACGGCCAAGCTCGAGCAAATGCAAGTGGAAGAGAAGAAGACACAGCGGTTGTTGCTGCACACGGAGAGCGGGGGTGGCGACTCGCTCTACGAGCTGCTCGCGCGCAAGACAGGGTACCCCCCGAGCCTGTTGAGCCCCGAGCGCGGCCGCTTCTATATTGTACGTGTCTTCAAAGTGGAACATATTGTCCTACGCTCGCTAGGTGCCGCAATCGTGGCTCAAGCGCTGGCGTCAATATGTCAAGAGCGTTGTGGATGAGGTGCCCGGACCGATCTTGAACGGCGCGCTCCTCTGCAGCCGCCACCGCAAGCCCGTCGTGCCGAACGCGATCGCGCTTTTCCTCATGGGCGCATCGACGTCGGTGCTCTCGACGATCCCTGGCATCACCTAGTACGGTTTCCCCTAAATATATGGGTGAGCTCATGTTCTGCACGTAGCGCGTTGTATGAGATCGTCACCGAGACGGAGTGGGACCAGCTCCAAGACAGCTTTTGCGCCGAGGTCGCGGTTGGCTTTGACGTGGTATGTGGCACCATTGTATGGCGGACGCTGCCGTGCCAAGTGTGCGAAGAGCCCACCGAGAGCCGCCCGAAGAAGGCCAACCGCAACAACAACAGCAACCGACGCACGGCGTACACAGCGCCGGCGATCCGCCTCTAGGTGCCATGCGCTGCGGCCACGGGCGGTACATACCCCAAGACTGTCTACTTGTGCATACGCACCCGTGGTTCCCTGATATAACACGATTCGCACGCGATAAAATCTAGTTGTTGGTCATGCATCCTGTGTCTGAGGCGGTGGCTGACGCCGGGCGCGCTGAATAAGGAGTGCGACCGAGAGCGGCGCCGGCCGATTCGCATAGGCTATGCCTACGGCGTGGTTGTACGCGCGTCGCCAAAGCTTCCGCACTGCGGCCGAAATGAGCGCGGCTCGACGGACGGCCCGCACCTTGCGCACGCGGCGGCGGTTGCGGATCGTGTCGTGAAGCAAGACGCCGGCCGCGACGACGATGGACGCCAAGTTGGTGGCCACGAGCAAGAGCGATATGGTATAGACGTCGACCATGGCGACCACCGGTGTAAGCGCCGTCGTCGACGCCGTGTTCATCAAAAGGAGAAACCCGAGGAAGAGGGTGATGAAGAGCTGAAACTGGGTCACGCCAGCCACGAGCGAGTCGGTCCAGGACCGGTACGGCTTGCATTGGAGCGTGAGGGTGAGCGCAAGCAGACTACGTATGCACATATTTTAGCGGTAGCGTGTTGATAGCAGGCGGCACCAGAGAGCGAGACCCGACGTCGATTGGACAATGTCGTTTCCCTGGAGGAAGACGAGGACACCGTTCAGGAGCACTTTTCTAGCTCCAAAATTTGGATACCGTGTCTGGGAAGAATGCTGTACCGAATCAGATCAAAGACGTCAAACCACCAGAATTCGCTCTTGTCTAATGCATTTGCCGTGAGTGTGGGGCACATATATGTTGTTGTCGTACAATTCTGGTAGATGAGTCCCAGACGCGCCATGACCGCAGAGTCCTAGACGGTTGTGAGATGGAAGTGAGACGAGTCGTCGACCTCGAGGTTCTTTGTCTTCATGTAGTGGCCCAAGTAGGCCATCTCGTCCCGGCGACCGAGCGCAAGGGGCACACACCGTCCCTCGGCCGCGAGCATGGTACGCATCTCCGCTAGCCACTTTTCGCGCAACGGGCGGTACGCGCGCGACTCGAGCAGCGTCAAGCGTGTGTCTACGCTGCGTGACAGACCTCTCATTGGCTTGTCAGCATGACATACCAATGTGCCGGTGCCGCGCCTTGTAGACAAGGCGCCAAAAGAGAAACGGAACGCCGACGACCCAGACGCCGACACCGGCGAGCGCGACGCATGCATAGAGCGACCACTCGGTCGTATAGCACTCGAGGCTGCGGTCCTTCACGAGCCAGTAGCGAGCACCGACTTGGTCGCAGTGGAACACGAGCAGAAAGTTCCTCGACACCATCGGGTACAAAAGCAAGAGAATCCTACAAAACTTAAGTGCAAAAGTTCGCACGCACTTGTGATGCGCGCACCCGAGCATCACTTTGACGCATTTGATGCGGTACGATTGATAGTGCAGTCGGAGCTTCACGCGCGCTTGCCAGACGCAGAGGTTGCTCCGCAGGACCCGCGATCGGACGTGGGCAGTGAGTGGCTTGGCCGGGCACACGCGGTGCGTTGGCCGGTACATGGGCAGTGCCCCGGTGTACGCCTTGGCCGTCGACATATTGATGGCCTCGCGTTGGAGTTGCCGGGCACGTGATGTGTGGGGGTCGGGCTCCGTGAGCAGCGCGCGAAGTGCAGTGAGGACACGGCGGGCGGCAATAGTTCCGTGGGCTGAACTGACATCGTCCAGCGACAACAGAGTGCTCGCCCGCTGTTCGAGTGACTGCCTTCGGCGTTTTTGGCGGCTTCCACTCAATGGCTGCGGCATGGACGGTCGCCGCTGGGCCATGTCGGGTACGTACTTGTCCCAAACGGGGAGGCCGCAGCGAGGGCAGCAGCGCGGAATGGTCTTGAGTTTTCCAATGTAGTGGGCCGCACCGCGGTAATAAAAGATGAAAACCAGTGCAAAGATAAAGGCGAGCACGGCCAGCGTCGAGCTAGAATGAAGCGTGGACCAAAGTTGTCCACATTAGAGAACGTACATGAACTGCACGTAGAACGACGTGGACGGCATGAAGCAGTCAATACCCGCAATCGCGACGAGATCCTATCCGTGCATCGTGTGCGATACTGTAACTTAATCGACGCACCAGACTAAACTGAGACGTGGCCACCATCGCGTCGTTGATGGCGGGCGGCCACGCGATCGCGTACGTAGTTCGGAAATTCCCAAAAATTTGGAAAAATCCAGTGAGAATTTTGGCCTTTTCGAGGTAGACGCTCACGTAATCGGGACGGCCGTCCGTGTCGAGCGTGATGCCAAAGACGTCGCGCGGCGGCGCTTGTGGGCGTCGACGCGCTTGCCACGCGAGGTACTTTTTATGGCAATTCGAGCGTGCCGAGGCCCACCACGTGAGCCGCTGTTTGGTGCGCGCTTTGAGTTGCTGGTCGAGCTTTGCCTGGCGCAAGAGCTCCCTTTCGCTGCCATCCTAAGCACAAAGCGGACGCCATGTAACTTGCGACCATCGTTGCTTGTCAACGTACGATGAGGTAGAGCCGAAGCGCCCCGATCAAACACGCAAGCACGACAAGGCCGAGACACGGTGCCAGCGCATTCTGCCACGTCAGCGACGTCCACTTGCCGTTGCAGTCTAGTACCATCGAATCCCAACGCTTACTTTTGCGACAAGAGATGTGCCGTACATTGGCATGTGCCCGAGATCGTGTTGGAGTACCCCGATGCACAGCGCCCGCACAATGAGCCGGCGTAGCCGACGGCGCACGCGTGGCCGAGCAGACTGTCGATATTGCCAAGACAAACGTTTTCGACCTATGCAATTTGAGAACGACAGAGGCGCGAAGACACGACCTGACACGGGTAGAACGCGAGACCAGAGAGACACATGAACTCCCGCATCGGCGGCCAGGACGCCACGTACGTCACTGGCACGACACTGGTCAAGCACTGCGTCAACGCAGCTTCCATGTCGTCGGACGAAAGGGCAAACGCCCGGCACGGGTCTCTCGATGGCCAATTCAACGGATCGCACTGCGTCGTTACGTGCGTCGCCGGGGCGCGGTCGAGGTAGTAGTTGGGCAGTGTGCGCGGATGGGCGACGCCGACAAGTGCGGGTGTCCCAGTCGTCAGGATGTACTCGGAGCAGACCGCGCCCGGAGGACAGCTGAAACATGCGGTACCGTTCAAGCTATATTGTCCGGACGGACACCGCACACATCGCCTATACATGACATAGTTTCAACTCCGTACACATACCACAAACATACCCTGCGGCGTCGGTCGAGTACCCCGGTGCACACGGTGTCATCAGCATGTCGATCTGCAGCGGAATCATTGATGCGCCCAAACGACTGCAGTCGACGACGACCGAAACAGGCACGGCGGCCACGACGATAGGTCCTTGAATCGCCGCTCTCGCAAAGGTGACGAGACCGTTGACAGCCGAGTACGTTGCGCCCCTCGGGGCCAGCGCGAGGCCCGCAGCAGACGCAGAGAGCGTACACGTCGTCGCGTTGTCGAGGCGAGCCACGTGCCCGTAGTAATCGGTGGTCTGTACCGTCGCCCACGAAAACGGCGATGTCAGCAGCGCCGACGCCACGTACGCCGACGCATTGCCGCCAACCGTGAGTGGTACATCACTCGAGAACGACGACGGCCACGCTTTTACCCGTACCGACACGGCCGACGTCGCCACGTCGGTGGGCTCATTGTTGTCCAAGGAGCAGTTGTCGCAGAAAAAATGGGCGCCGGACGGAGGGTCAACCACCCAAAAGATGCCGCCGCCCGACATCGCCGAGTTGTTGAGCACTACGAGCGACGTGAACGCCGACATTTCCGCCCCCTTGTCCAAGTAGAGGCCGCCGCCCTGGCGCTGGGCAGCGTTCATGAAGAACGTAGCGTTGATGGTTTGGTGGGGGCCCGGCGACACGAGCGCCATCGCGGCACCGTCTTTCGCAGTATTTAAGGTCCAGCGCGACCCGGTATCGCTGACGCGTGCGCTGTGGCTCGCAAAGAGGCCCCCGCCCATGCCGTTGGGCGACGAATTGTTGGTGGCGACGCACTCGAGCAGCGTGCCTTGCGCTGCGCGCTCGAGCGCGATCGCGCCGCCGTTGCCTGCGGCGGCGACGTTGGTCGTGAACGTACAGTTGACGATGGCGCCGACACTTCGCGACGCAAGAACCAGTGCGCCCCCAGTCGTCTCGGCCGTGTTGAGTGAAAAAATCGAGGCGAGGCTGTGCAGCGAGCTCGTGCGATCTAAAAACACGCCGCCCCCCGTGGTGGCGCTGTTGTTTGCAAACGTCGCGTGGACGCAGGTCACTTTGGCCGTCGTTGCAAAGAGACCACCGCCGCTGTGTTGCCCATAGTTGCGTAGCACCTGCGTGTCAATGACAACGAGTTGGCTTCCGTGGCCAGCAAAGATGCCTAAATAATACAGGCTTGGCGGGGGACGACATCCGTTACTGTGTACCGCCGCCGTGTCCCGTCGCGTTGTTCCCAAGGACATTCGAGCCGTAGAGCTGGGCAGCGGTCGACAAGGCGCCGTGCAGATAGATGCCACCGCCGTGACTTCGTGCGAAGTTGTTTCGGATACTCGAGTTGCCGGCCATGAGAAGCACAGCGCCCGCATCGAGGTAGACGCCGCCGCCGCAGCCTTCGGCGCCTACATCACGCAAATTTGAAGAGATGCTCGCACGCGGAAATATGCTGCATCGTACGGTTGGCGTCGACGAACGTGCATTGTAGCTCCACGCTTGTTGCGTTTCCAGTGGCAAAAATGCCACCGCCGTCGCGGGTCGCCACGTTCAACGTCAATTGTACAGTGTGACAGTACATACTGGCCGCGTTGGTCAGATACACAGCGCCACCGCGTGTGGCGACGCCGTTTGCGAGGCGTGTCGACGCTTCCAAGATGACGGTCGACGCATCCGCATAGACGAGGCCGCCAAGAAAACTCGTCGTGTCTCCTCCACGCACGCTGCAGTTGGTGAGTGTCACCGTTGAGAATCCGCAGAGAGCAACAGAGCCGCCGTTGGAGGCAGCGTTGGCCGTCAAGCGCGTAGAAGTTAGTGCAAAGCGGGAGGCGGCAATTAGCGCGATGGCTCCACCGCGATCTCTGGCCGTGTTGCTCGAAAAGGCGCAGCTAAAAGCCGCGCTTGACGAGTTGATGAGCGCAATGGCACCACCAGTAGCGTTGGCAAAGTTGGCCATCATGACCACGCGTTGCAGCGAGAGGTGGGCGCCCACGACATACATGCCGCCCCCGTCGTCCGCCACGTTGTCTTGCAAGGTCACATTCGCGAGCGCCACACGAGCGCTTGACGCAGCGTAGATACCGCCGCCAGCGACCGCGATATTCTTCTCCAAGACGATGCGATCCCCGGCAAACGAGCTGTTGACGTCAATGTAGAGCCCTCCCCCGTGCTGCGCGGCGCCATATGAAATGTGTACGGCCGAGACCACGGCGGTGGTGTGGGGTGCGACGTAAACGTGCCCACTGGAAGATCGAGTCGCCGTCAGTATCGTTGTCGCCAGATACTGCGTGGTCGCGGCGCCCAAGAAAGCACTGGCGCCAGTCAACGCAACCGACGCGCCTCTTGGTGCGAGATTGTCGACGATGGCCGTGTTCGTGTGGTGCACCGTTGCATTTTGTATGTAGAGCCCACCGCCTGTTTGGCGGGCGACGTTTTTGTATAGCGATACGCTGGTCACGGTCGAAGCGCCGCCTTGCAGGATCGCCACGCCGCCGCCATGCGCAGCCGATCCGTTCTCAATCGTCAAGTTGATTATCGAACAGGACGTGCCAACAACATTGCCGCCGAATCGATGGGCCGTGTTGTTGAATATGGACGCGTTCGCGCCGAGAACAGTTGCATCGGCCAGTGCCAAGCCACCGCCCGACTCGGTAGCACTGCAAGAGGTGACGCGCGTTTCAAAGAGGCGCACGGAGCTGTTTTGAGCGGAGATGCCGCCACCGGTGACCAAGGCCGAGTTGAACGTGATGTTGCAGCGCTCCAAGCTGACGGTGGCGTAGTGAGCGCCGAGGCCACCGCCACGCATCGCTCGGTTGCCCTGCAGTCTGCCATTTCGAACTGTACAGCTGCCGTTGGTGCACAGAAAGCCACCACCGAGCGTATCGGCCGAGTTGCGCAAGAGCCTCGGCCCGTCGAGCTGGCAGCTTTTGCTGCAGGTGATGCCGCCACCAGCCACGCGAGCGCGGTTGCGCGTAGTAGCACAAGTGCCTCGCAATGCGATATCGGGCCCGTCGAGGTAGGCACCGCCACCGTCGTCCGCCGTGTTGGCGTCCAAAACGAGACCCGAGCACGCGACGGTAGAAGACGGTGTCACAAAGGCACCGCCACCGCGCTGCTGAGCGCAACTGTCCAGAACCGATGTGTTTTGAATCGAAATCCAACCCGAGAGGTGGAGACCGCCACCGTCTCGTGCAGCTTGGTTCGCAGCAAGAACGAGGTCCGCGAGGTACGAGCTGTTAGAGGCCGCGACGCCGCCGCCATCGAGACGCGCCGAGTTGGTTATGATGTGCATGGACTTGACACGGGACGTGAGCAAGCACATGCCGCCACCGACCGATGCCGCATTCGATCGGATGGCCACAGTGGCACCAGCAATGGTCGAGTTGAAGCCAAAGAGACCACCACCGGATGTCGCCGCTGAATTGTTGACGATCGTAGTGTTGAGCAGCCCCATGTTGGAGTTGTGGGCGGCAAGGCCGCCACCAGTACCATTGGAGGTGCACCTGGCCACGAAGAGTCCGTCAAGAAGGACCGAGCTAGCATGGACGTAGAGACCCCCGCCTGTATCTACACGAATCTAAGCACTGTCAGAACAAAGTGCAGATGTGTACCTGCTGCATGGTTTTCAAAAAGCGCGAGCTCCGACACATCAAACGAGCTGTTGCTCAGCGACTGCAGTGCGAGGCCACCACCTTGTACCGCCGTGTTGAGAGCTACGGTCGTGTTACCGACAGAGAGACTCTGGGTGGACAAGAGAAGAAGCCCGCCGCCGGTGATCGCCGTATTACCAAGGATTCGAATGCGCTCCATGACGAGGCTAGCGGCCGAGAGCACGGCGAGGCCTCCGCCGCCACCGGCTGAGTTGTTGAACACGGTGCCGTTCCAGAGGTTGTTGTCGACACCTGTGACAGCGATACCGCCACCGTAACGCGCTGCCGTGTTGAGCGCAACACGTGCACCGTGCAGCGTACTCGAGTAAAGAGAGACGCCCCCGCCATCAGACGTGGCCGTGTTGTGGGATATACTCGAGGTGGTTGCCTTCAAGCTACTGTGTTCGAGATAGACTCCGCCACCAGTCGTCGCCACACAGTCTTCAATATCAACGTCGCTGAAGACCAACTCCGAGTTGGCTGCTGCGAGACCGCCGCCGAGTGAAGACGATACTGCGCCACGAACGGAAACGTGGGTCAGCACCACCTGACTGTCGGCCACTTGGAGGCGAGCGCTGGGGCCAATGCCTCCGATAAGGCGGAGACTGGAGAGTCGCACCACCGACGCTTTGCGAATATCCCACGATGCAAGCGCGCCAGTGCAATTGACGTCCACCACCAGAGCAGAGTCCGGCATAGAAATAGCAAACAAATCGCTGTCCGACCAGGCGGTCGACACCAACGAGGTGATCGTCACGTGCTGGTGTTCCAAGACGACGTTGCACGTGCGCGCGTCCGTGTACGTGCCAGGATACAGGACAATAGTGCCGTTGGGGGGCACGAGCTCGAGTGCCCGAGTGAGTGACTGGAGCGCTTTATTTTGTCTAAGGCCGCCGGTGCCAAGGGTATCGCTGCCAAACCGCTCATCAACAACGATGCTATCGGGCCGGTAGCACGCTGGATGGTGCGGACACACATCGTGGTTGGTGCATCCTTCGCCTGAGAAGCGCGGTCGGCAGTCACACGTGCCGTCATCGCGACAGAGACCATATCGCCCGCACGACGTCGGACATGGTATCGTCAAGGCGTCGAGGGACACGCCTCGTACACCATGGTACCTCAAATGAACGCCCGAGAGCTGAATCGAGTCGTCGGTTGCTAGAATCATCCGGAGGCCAATGCCCGGCGCACGGCTTTGTAGTGTAAATGGCGGTCGAGCGCAGCCGCCTTGCCACATGAGCTGCTCCGAACCGTTTTGGTGCACCTCAAAGAAGGCAACCTTGTCGTTATCGCACTCCATCTCAAACGCATAGACCTACAGAAGCAGACTGACACAAACATATAACGACAAGCTCGTACGTGGAGAAGGACCGAGACGTCAGGCGACGATGGTAGGATGAGCCAGGAGACGTAGGCGTTTGGCTGGTAGGCGAGCGTAGTGTTTATGTGACCGACTTCACCCCCATCGACTACGGTGGAGAGGACCGTCGCATTGGTCTCGGCCAAAAACCGGTTGGGTGCAGCGGCATAGCTTGAGTGTGCGGGTGTAGTCTCGCACTCGGGACACGAAGACGCAAATGACCCGTTGATCTCTCGCCACCAGTCGATACTCGTTGGAGCTAGACCGGTGTCTGTGCATCACTTGCTTGACAATACTGGAAGGTACGTACCACACGCATCTTTCCCGGTGAGCACGAGTATCGCCGGCGCGCTGTTGCCCCACGTCGTCGTCGCCGTCTAAGCATATCTTGGTGTAGTGTTTGTAAAGAGAGATGATGTATGCGTACGACAGAAATGCTAACACGACTGCTAATGTTGCTCATGGGAATGGCCCACGTCGTTGCTGTTGTGATGTGGGGTGGATCCTCGTCGGCGGAAACGACGTAGTAGAGATCATCGCTCTTGGCACCACCGATGTCCAGTGGCGGAGACCAGACCAGTTGGACTGCCTCGACCGTCTCATCAAACGTACCACAGAGGTGCGAAGGTGACGTCGGTGGCGTCACTGGCGTTGTCG